TATACATCCAAAACATGTTTATTCACGATCAAAATTTGATTGAAAATCAACAATTAATGACGATTGCAAGTTGTGAACATATGCGTTTCCAACCAACATTTTGATTTCCGAAGATATCCGATTAGATTGTTATAACCCGAACTCTATATCGAACTTTGAATGTACACAGGGCATAATCTTCTGGACTGACTTCCCTTGTTATTTTTTGAACTTATGTATATGTAATCTCTTATTTTTCATACCTGACTATCTGGAAAAAACTCTTTATCATTTTTTTGCAGTTCAGAATAGCTCAGACAAGTGAAGACTGCTTTTCTGTGAAGAATTGCCACGTGGAGTCATCTATAAATTGACAATTAGTTTCAATGTAATAGTAGGGAAGAGTAAATGATTATGGGAATAATCAGAGAAGAATTAAGATGGCTACAGGAATTTATTCTTACAAAAAGTCAGCAGAAGTCTAAGCAGCCGTTTCCAAAGAGCTGCATAATTAAACGCAGCCCAAAGCGTTTATCCAGACCTGCCTCTCTTATCTGCTACTCTTCACAGAAGATAACATAGTCAAAAATTTGAATGAAGATGTGGGTTCAAAAAAACTTAACTTCAACTATACTCAGAGCTTTATTATTCGAACAAACGATAACCTACAAAGCTTTATTGAAGTTTTCTGTGAGTGGAAGTGAGTGGGGGAAGCACAAAATTGCTGAAGCTTTGATCACCACAAGTTTGCTCTTTGCCCAATCTTTACAATGAGCAAGCATTGCCATTTCTCATACTAGTTATTTGATCCCGCTCTCGCTGCCTATTGTTAGTGACATTAATATAATATTAATAACAACGACATTTCAAATCTAAACGGGTTAGCTCCCCTCAAATATTCGCCACTCCATTCGTGGGATGCGGTATATGCGCAATCGTCATACCAAGACGGAGTGGCGGCACCTCATTAAGAACACCAAGTTCTTGAGGACTGCACAACCCATAATGATTCTTGCCGCCTCTTCTGGATGAAGCGCATTATTGCATGCAAGATCTTGAAGCTTCCACTTGGGTTCCTGTATGGGGTGAGGATCTCGTTGTTTCTTGAGAGATCTAAACTCCCAAAAGGCAGTATCTTTCCGAAGCCGCCCCTCTTGCGATACATCGTGGAGACGGCTATATGTGTAGCGGTAGCATTGTGAACAGAACCAGGATAGTTGCTGTTCATGAACGTTCTATCCCACGCGTCAGCAATGGCTCAGATGTTGACTTCGAAGTATCCTTTACAGCAGTGGCACTCCAACCTTAAATTGGTCAACCTCAGGATGGGTATGTGCCGTCGATGTTCCACAATGTTCGGAGCGCGAGACCATCCGCCTTCCTCCGGCGGTAGTGCGCTTTATTGAAGTGGCTTGGGAGGAACTTCTGCACCACTGCCGGGTGTTTTTGATGGGTTTCACCATATCCCTCACGGCGTTGGAAAGCGTCTTTTGGCAGACACCAATCGCCTCTGCCAGGACGGCTTGATGAACATGTGTAGCCAAGTAGAGAAGGGTGATGATTACCTGAAAATTGCTGATCAGTTTGCTCATTAGAAAAATCTTGTTGCTAGGTAAGCTTCTTCACATAACCACTTTTTCTAGGATTTGCACCAGTTAGTGGGTGCACGTTCGCCATACCGTGAATGCAGAAATTTGAGACTCGAGACGTCCCGGATTCGAACCCCGTACATCTCGCGTGCAACGCCAAGTATTTATCACTGGGCCTACTTTAGATAATGATGTATTGAATGCGATTGTGCAATATGACTGCGCGTATGTATTGTTCGCATGCACTGCGCGTTTTTGATAATAATAGTGATTGCAACTAACCTTCTTCTCAACCTCGACGCTCCAAATGCTGATGCTTTTCTGAGGCAGGAGCGGATTAAGGAAATAGCAAAGATGCCGGAGTTAAGCTTTCCCGATCCAAACCTCGATCGCTGATCTGAGTGGAACAGGCGGACAGGATAGAGACGGCAACGGTTTTTACAGCCCGCAACCCAAACTCCTTACGTTGGAATTGTAAACATGTCTGAATAATTCAATAGATATTATTTCGAAGTCTTTCCAAGCAGTTTGCGACAGTTACGTTCATATCTTCGATAAAGATGAAACTTTGAAACAAAGGTTGTTCGAGACAGGGTGTATGTCAAGAGGCGCGATTTTTATTGCCAGCTGCACACTAAATAGCACATAATAGGTGTTCTGCAAACTTCTAAAAGTGTACAAAATTTAGAAGAAAATCTATTAGATATTTGCATGAGTTGTTCAATCTTGATACTCTAGAAAAAATTCAAAACAACAATTTTGAAGACCAAAAACTCATGAAAATGCATTTCAGAACAAATTCGTAAATATTTCAGTCCAATTCATAGCAAAAACCATGAAATTCAGCAGTTGGTGACCTCAGACAGATAGTAAGCTAACGCACTTTATCTGGTAATTTTTGAAAACTCGCATGGCACTGAACCAGAGTTTTAAGTTGGTGACAGTCGAAGAAATCGCGCCTCTTGACCGTCTCCCTTTGAGTCATTTCCCCCTCCCCCCTCCCCCCCCCCCCCCCGTAAAAATGAAGGTTGTTCATGGAATACCAAATTAAAGAAAAATATGCAAAACAAATAGCAAAAGCAGAGAGAATTCTTGGAAAGAGGAAGAAAGAGCTTCAATAAGTTGAAGTCTAACACCTGGCATCATTTCGAGTCGGTGGTATTTGCTCCAGGAACGGAAATCCATAAGGGAAAAAAAGAACGGCATATTTCTTCTTTGTTTCAAAACCACGTTTTAGTAGGGTGATTTTGTCGTGATCAAGATAAAAATAAAGGAATGGGCTATGAAAACGCAAAGTTTTATTCACTGAGTCAAAACGCACGTCAAAAACAATCTAGCTGATGCGTTCTTTGGACTTCATCCCCATCCCGTAGTTCTGTTTCTAACGACGTTGTCAGCTTCATCCCGCTCGACGTTGTCTACATTATAGGCAAAGGAAGGTCTATCAAATACAAAACCGCATGAAAGAAGCTATTTGAATTGAAGTGAAGGAGTTCGGAAAAGTATTTGCTGGATTTCTCGTCCACATCAAACAATGGGGTCTGACAACTTGTCAGTGTGAAAGCCGAGATCAAGGCTTCAACTGTATAGGTTGCTAAAATGGCGTAAATACAGAAAAGGTTGCCAGAGCCAAATAACCCGGGTCCCTTGCTTAGGATACCGAGGTAGCGCGCAACACTTGAAGCGCAGGAGCATATAAGATGAACTGGAGCCGACCGAGCACTTGACTTTAGCTGGAGATCTTCCGGAAACAAAACCCTTTAACATCATACATAATTCTATTTCCCATGAAACGACCAGGCGGAACTGACAACGTTCCAAGCGCTAAATTTGCGTAAGAGTCAAATAAGGCTTCTAGTTTTTACCTCCAACAGTTTTCCTAAAACTCATTCGTAGTTTAAAAAGTGGTCAAGCCAGAAACATTGTTTTTGTTTCTAGGCAAGTTTATATAGAAACATTGTTTTTAGCACAAGTTGCAAAGCGATTTTTCTTTTTTGCTGGGATAGTTTTCTTTATGTCACTTAAAGGCAGTGGCTCGGCAAATCCTCGACTTGAGGTTTTTCGCTTACCCTGGGATAATTCGAAGCGCTGTTTTCGAAAATACACCTTGGAGAGCACGAAAATTTCAAAAAGCAGCATTTTCCAAGGGTTCTCATTTTCAATTTGGACGAGTTGTTTGGTTTTGCCGAGCCACTGCCTTTAAAGTGAAGATTACCAGAGTACATGGCTCTATGTTCGAGGATGTTTACCTTTTCTTCTAAAAGATTGTTTACACAACAAATTCGTCAAAAAAAAACAATGAAACAGCAGAAAAGATAGCTAGACTGCATATGTCAGGGTGACCAAGCTCAAAGTCCACCACAATATGCTCAAGCACAGGTTTGGGAACTCAGGCATTTTCTTACTACGTTTGTTACGCGTGTAGGCGCGGTCGATCTGTCAGATACAAGAAAGTTCGAGCGCGGATGCGAAAGTTTTGCAGAGGGCTTCTTATAAAACAGCGCTAGCCGCACCGGAGTTGGCAGATTTTAGCGATGCGCTAACTCCCCGGCATCTATGATGCCACCAGGTGGGGGAAATTTCCACCGCCCTCGCGTTTTTGACTTAGTTGTCGCTCTAGTACATGCGCAAATTCAATATTGTTTTCCCAGTACGCATAGTTTGTTTCTGCACATGGCAAATAGACGAGTTTGAGAACTGACTCTCTGCGCATTGTGAGTTTAGGCTGCTTGAGCTGCATCCGCAGTTGCACATGCCAGGGTCATCCCAGCGCGGTTCTAACATTATGTAGGTTGATCGACCAATATCAGCGGGTTTATGTTGGAATCCAGCAGGCATTAGTTGGATTCCAACATAAACCATGGAGCTGAGACGGTGCTGGGATCGAAGTGGCAGGGCGCCGGCAACTCTGACCTTAGGACCTGCGCTCGAAGTGTGATACAATAGTGCAATTCACATCAGTGCGAAAATGGGCACTAGGAACGTTTTCTTAAAGGATTAGAGGAATCGGCGTTTTCAAACTCTGCTGGCATGCGCCGAAGGCACTACTTCATAGTCGAAGAGGCTACACTGGAGGTGTTGCGCTACTTGTGGCAGCGAGGCAGTTACCAAGTCGGTGCCTTTTATCCTCACAGACTACTCTGGTACCAATTTACCGTCCCCAGAAGGTAGAGGGCTTGGTTGGATCAGGGGCGGGATCGAACCTGGGTTGTCACACGCCTTATAGCACTACGCCACTCGTCCGTCAACTTTTTTTAGAAGTTGAAGTACTTCGTGGTTTGGAGATGGAAGAAACTGAACACAATGGATGCTCGGTTTCCTGTTTGCTGTCCTCATGGAGGAGGGTCATTCCAAGGCCTTACGGGAGGAACTGAAACTGTCACGCCTCTTGCTTAACCAAACCATTATTTTACCATCAATCAGCTCATCTTCATCGGTCTCAAGAGCTGTCGAGCAACTTTTACAATAAAACACACAAAAGTAGCGGTTTGAGTATAGGTGACAACTTCTTCTAAAATCTGTAGATGACATGAAAGCGTATAGTAATTAAATTGGTGAAAAACGAAATTTGCGAGGAAGGAACAATAGACCATTGCACAATAACACAAAATTAAACTTTATCGTCTTCAAAGGTCAGACTGAAAATAATGAGATTTAGCTGAAACAATGACCCTGAGTAGACCTGAATAAGATAGAGCTAATGTCATGTCATTTGATATTGTTTAAAATCACTGGTAAAGCGGAGACTGAAACCCGCACAATATGAGAAAACCTAAATAGGCAGCTATACAACAAAAGAAGTTTTGTGGAAATTCCTGAGACAAGTCACTGCTATAGCGCTCTTTTTGTACGCTGCAAATTTTGTCAGAATACACTTTCAGATACGGCCGTCAGAGAACGCGATCAGGCTAAATGAACAGATGGGAGATGGCCCTCAACCTGGATTTGGTGCTGTGGGTTGTACACTGTCTAGGCCTCTTCTCGATGTAGCCCTGAACTCCCAATGTTCAAAGTCACCATATCCTACACTTCTCGAAAGGATTCATTGGACTGCCTGCTGGACATTGGAATGCTTTTGAGAATGCAGGGAAGTTCTGCAGCGGCACGTTCACCCTGAAATGCAGATATTAAGGTACTGAATGCGTAAAATGTAATGGATCTCGGCAGAATTGCGGCACCCATATTTCATGTAAAATCTCCCCACGGCTGCTTCCCAGCTAACGTCCCTCTCAAAAATGGGTGACGAAATTTTTGAAACTGGCTTACATGAGCTATAAAAATGCGCAAGTTGTTTATACTTGTAATGGGCATAAAGCTTTAAAATTTTTCAGAGATTCAAATTCCACGCCCCCTTTTTCTAAAATTTCGCGGTCGGGCCCGCAAAAATTTCATAGTGCTTGGCTAGCGCTACGCACCCTTATTCGGGAATTGTCGGCCCCTTCCCACCCCCCGAGAAGGAAGCCCTGGGACCTCCACTGGTATCCTTGTAACGTTCTCAAAGAATCTCGTGATTTCTTTGTTTGAACTTTCTCCCAGAACACTCCGAGACCAGCCGAAAGGGTTTGCGCGAGCCTCTTTGAGTGCACATCTCGCTTTAGAAGTGACGCGGAACGAACCTTCATTGGCTTATTGTTTTTCAAAGTCTCCCCTTCATAACTATTATTTCACAGCCGTTGATAGATAATTTGTATTTCAGAACCAAAAGCGACCAGATTCTAGGACTGACGTACTTTCAGAACGGTAGACCTGCACTCAAATTTTCGCGGGTATAACTATTCCAGAACAAAGAAGGAGGATTCCATAACTTCAACTGTTTGTTGTCAGCTTGCCCAGAGACGGGAAAAATCAGCTTCCAAACATAAGAAAATTGAGAAATAAGTAGACTAGATTAATTCTATGGAGAATAGCATGAGTTCCTTCTAGAGCTTAATAAATTTGAAATTTGACGAAGTGCTATTATTTCAAGTGGTATTTGTCGTTGTCCATTTTCATCTACATACCGTAGTTGCTGCACACTAGAGTAATAAACTACTTCTACTGGAGCATTTCGAATGTCTTCAAACGAAAGCCGAAATTTCGCGGCTCCAAAATTAAATCCAAAAAAATAAGCTTCAGGCACATGAGGCCCTCGAATGAGCTGTACCGTCAAAAATCTATGATTGCGAAACTCTTGGAAAGAACTGTTACGCTGAAACTTAACTTTGCAAAATGCAAAATAGATACGAATTCATGGATCAAAAAAACTGTGCAGATTCCGTTTTGACAGAGACAGGAATGGTTTTTCAAGATGAGTATCTTATAATTATTCTGAAAGTGAAAGTTTTGCTTAGTTTTAACTGACAAGGGAATGGTCAGAAATCGAAGTGGCCATTCCAGACATTAGATGCAGCATGAAGCGCTCACTCTAAATCTGTCTTCCTTACCTGCTTATCGCTTTTCTGGACGAAGCTATAAGCCATTAAAGACCATTATTTTGCTAAGAAATTATGCGTGAAATTGAAAATTTAGCCGTACAGAGCCACGTTCGCCTCAATGCTGGGCTAAAACATGCAGCTAGCTTACTTAAAATTTTTGAAGCCAGAAGCTGAGCGAAAAGTGCAACAATGTGCTCAATTTCGCTGTTTTTGTGTATGATTTTTTCACAGAAAAACCGCTTGTAGTTTCGTCCACAGAAGCGGGAAGCAGATAAGGAAGACAGATTCGAAGTCAGTGTTTTATACTGCATCGAATGATATACAGCTTCTTTGGTTTGGCCACTTCGACTTCTGACCATTCCCTTGTGAGCACCGCACAACAATTTGATCGAAAAAGGTCATTGCTCGTCTCTGACTAAATGACGTTGTCAATTTTATTAACACATTTTTTTACTCACTATCTATACACTCTCGTTCTTAGCAGCTTGTCTCTTTTTTGGAGTTTCATAGTTTTACATCAAGCACGATTTACCTGAACATTCCGAGAGCGTGTACGTCCGTATCCATGATGTAGTTGATTGAGGAAGCTTTCACAGCTTCGCACCACGTCTGAAAATCTAGGTTTTGCTGAATTTAGCCAAAATGGGCTAGTTCCAACATTAGCGTAGGCGATGAAGAAGAGCTGCTCCGTTGAGAAAGATGGAAGTCCAGGAAGGGAAGCAGTTTCAGACTCGCGCGAACTTCTCATCCGATAAGCCTGCATCAGACGAGTCGTTACCAAAGCCGCAGCAAAAAAAATTTTGGTCACCTCGTATGCGACACGAAGTCCACCATTGTCTGCTATATTCTCGCCGATTGTGAGTCGACCGTCAACCTGGAATATCCAGAGCTTGAGCTTTGAAAAAAAAGCTAAATATTTACATTTCGCTGAGTGGTCGGCTCGAGGTGCTTGCTGTATTGGTTGACGAAACATTGCCTCTTTTTCTGGAATGTGTCCAGCGTCGCCTCATCCCACCATCGCCTCAGATTTCCATACTCATCGTATTGTGATCCTACAAGACAAAAACAATGAGTAAGGTCTCAAGAAGAGAAAGCTCTTACCTAAATCGTCATAGCCATGTGTTATCTCATGACCGATGCCAAGTCCAATAGCAGCATAATTGACGTAGAATGGCGCTTCAGGCACGAACATTGGAAACTGCAGAATAGCAGCAGGAAAGACTGAAAACATTTCTTCAAGAAAGAAAAGTTCAAAGACACGTAATGCAACACTTGAAGCACTCACTTATCTCATTTCCTGTGAAATAATGAAATGCATCCACAGCAATGACAGGTGAGGCCCATTCTTCTTTTGATGGGTGATTATAGAGACGAGTCAAGACAGTACTAAAAAGCTTTTATTGCGAGCAAAAAGGAGAAGACCTTATGCTTGGGGAGAAGTGCAATTTAGCGTAAACGAATGTGTACAGGTGTCCAGAACTAGAATACTTGCTTAAGGGAGCGGCCATACTACTCCTGTGGTTCCTGTGATTCCTGCAGTTCCTGCGATTCCTGTGATTCCTGCGGGCCTTGTAACAATGTATATTAAACAATGTGTACTGAAATGGGATAAAATTAGCAAAGCGCTCCGTAGTGCGGCACGTCGGAAGGCAGGGAATCACGGGAACTGCAGGAGTTACAGGACGCGGGAATCACCTGGATTAGTATGGCCGGTCCCTAAGTAGAGAAATAGTATAAGTTGCAATAAGGAATGACTTTTTCGCAGTTTACATCTCCATTCACTCCCGTTGATTTATTTATCTCTTCACTTTAGCGAGCTGCCGATTTGTAGTGCAAAAACCTGGGATCAAATACAAGAAGTTGAGTTTCTTAGCCTTATTATCGTAACGATCCAATAATAAACACAACAACATAGATTCGAGTTTTATCTATACAAAAACGTCTTTTGTCGAAGATTACCTAGCATAAATGATCGATCAACGAAAAAATTGTGACTTCGTGGGAACGTCGATTTTCGATGTGAATGTCGAGATTGTACTCCTTTGGCAATTACTTCCTAATTGCCTTTTGGGTTTTTGAATTTTTTTTTATCACTTAGTTATCCAACCTGAAGCGACAAGCACTAGTTCCTCAGACTCTTGGTTTAGAACCTTCGAATTCTAGCGAATAAACTTTCTAATTTTTTCCTTTCTTCCTTTATCTCTTTCTCTATGACGGTGAACTTTTATCTATTGGTTTCTAGACTGATCAAAGTGTAATTTGTCTCAAAGTGCTACCCATACATCATTTGCAGTGTGAAACGGCCAATCCCTACCGTTGGTACTAGTTTCGAACATATTCCGGGAAACAAAACACCAATCAAACCTATTAGGTTGGAACATAATTCTTGGGTAAATTTTTGTATATTTTAACATCTCACATTCTGGAATTCATCACTTTAATAAGTTTGAGGATAATCGTGCGCTTTCTGATATGCTTACGATAAACTTATTATTGGCAAATGGCGACGGTACAGGCTCATAAGAAAAGATACTTACTGTGCTTTTGAAAATCATTTGTTGAAAATGCTAGATTCTTACAATTTTGAGTTTATTTTATCCTCACTAACCGAACAGCCGCCCTTTTCAGTTGTAACGCATTATCGAAATAACGATCTCTGGTCAATTGCACTCCCTCGAAAGGTGCCAGAACGGCCGTTTCGTTGAGCAGCGTGTCCGGAAATCTGCAATAAACCTGGAGTTTACCACACTCTCGACTTTTTTTCGTATTTACCCAATTTTATGGCCCATCTTCTCGAGTTTTTTCAGAGCCGCTGATCTGGTAGCCTCATCCATCCAATCTGTATCGTGTAAGAGACGCTCCATAGACCTCTTCAGATCCATTATCATTTCTTCAGCCTAGAAGGGTGTTCTTCTTATATTTATGTTTACTGTACATCGAAAGGGGTCTTTGCCTGATTTTTCAGCTCAAACGAAAACACACCTTTTCGCGGTCTTCTACGGAAAAGTACGAGGTGGCGTAAGCCGTGGATAAAGGCATCGCTAAATTTTCTGCCACTTCCCGAACACAGTTCTCCCACTGAGGTACCTGTTTAAATGTATATTCTAAGTGCACGCAAATGTTTGCTCAGAATATACGAAACTCACTTCAGCAGTTGCTCCAAACATGCTTGCCTGGAATTTCTGAGCAGGAACACGATACTGATGTGGAAGGTACACATCGAAAGTGGACACAAGACGCCACATCATGTAGTTGTTAATAGAACTGGAGACAGATAACTACTTTTAGATGTTGTCCTTACATAGAGGTTTGAAACCGTTGGCAGCCAATAAAATCAGTTTCTTGTTTTTTTTCCTATCTTGACTTACCTGAGAGGTTTTGACTTGACCAGAGCCGAAAGCCCATCGAAATAGCCAACATCGACTACATTGACAATCATATCGTCTTCCACTGGTCCCAGACTGGCTCGTAATTCTTCGTTGAAAAACAAATTCCATCGTATCTGAATGTTATAAGGGCCATTGAAATTAAGTGAAGGATATGAAAATACCTCAGGGTAACGTCTGCGAAAGTCTCCATAGGACATTAGATTATTTATAGCGGAATGGTTACGAACGTTGTCGGATCGGGAAAGCTGTAAACAAAAAGAAAATAAGATCAACAAGATTAATTGGTCTTTTTAGACAATGAGCAGCTTTAGGTGATGTGTATTGATTTGAGAAACACTATGTCAATTTTTTAATTAAATTGTTTGAGTGTAGATTCTTTGACATTATCGATGGAAAAATTTAGGAAATTCATTATTATGTTTTATTTATCAGAATAACATAACATATAGTACCTCACCTTATAGTTTATTTTATATCATTTAGATTCTTTGTAATTTTGGTAATAATTACGGTTGTACGTGTAATAAATCTACAAAGTTCATTATTTCCACTAACAAGCAAAGAATTTACCCTAATTTTTTGAAACAATTATAACAAGGGCTTTGTAAACAGCTAAATTACATACATTAGCTATCCTTCGCTCCACATCGATGATATCGTTGACTTGATATTCAATCATTCCTTCATCATCTTCCATGTCGACACCTATGATAGTGCTACAGTTCAAATGTAGTTTTAATTGATTTCACTCTAAGTTTTTACAGCCTTTTCCTTGGCACTGTGCGAAAGAGGTGCAATTTTTATGACGAATTGCAACCCCGACAGTTTATCGCAGACATAGCAGCTTCTTATAACCCTCGTAGTCGACTTGCTTCTTTATGTGCGTGGTGTAATCTAAGCTATTGCATTGTTGATGGCGTTATACTCGTATATGCAAAGCCCAGAGTAAGCCACACCTACGCTCATAGGTATAATGGATCGCCTACTACATTCAGTTTTTGAAAAATAAAATTGCAGAACGTGAGGAATGCACTCCGAGATGCGTGGTATATATTCTAAGAAGAAATAAGGAAAATACGCAAGTCTTGTCAATGATTGTTCGCGCAGACAATTGACAGGAAGTTCCGCTGGACATTTAGGGAACAAGCCTTTCGTGGCCCTATGTGGAAATAGATATTCGTAGGTATTTAGATGTTTTAGTTTACAATTAGTGTAGCGCATTCCTGCAGAAAGTCACTGTCAATACTGTAACTTTTGTGATAGTAAACAAAATCTTGAGAAACCCAAATATCTCTTGTCCATTAGAAGATCCTCTAAATTGTCTGAACTACTAGCATACTACGCAAAACTAACCGAGTAATTGAAGAAGACTGATGATGTACTCGCGATAATGGCCCAAAAAGCTGTTGGATGATGGAGCACCGCGATAGAACTTTTTCTTTTCCAGAAATAGCTTTGGTGGGCAGAACTATTAGAGGATTGGATATAGCAGCGAGGACATTTTGAACAATTTTTGTGACACTCACCATGAGTATTTGTTCATCACTGTTCTCAAAATTATTGTGCACAAAGACTTTTATTAAGCCATCCACTCCTATCACCGAAAGCTGACCTAAAAGAACGTAATTTATTGGAAAAAATACGACTACATCAACACAGCTAATAGGCTGTAAAGCTTTCCTGGCAATTATTGTCTATTTATATGCTATTGAAGTGAAAGGAAAGAAGACGAGATCAGAAAATTATTTACTGCTTTATGAATCCATACAAGTATTCTTTTGGCTATCAGTGTGAATATTTGAAGAGCACGGCTTTGAAGGTAAGTCTTATAATGTAACCAACAAAAGAAGATCAAATATTGAAGTAGTACAACGATGCTTAAGGAGAAGATGTCCTCCTGGAAATTGAGATTTATGAAAAATCAAATCCGCTACCTGCTGAAATTTCCCAGTGATAATCAGCTGAGTCAAATCTAGCATTTGTTAACAGTTCCCATCCACCGAGCTGCGAAATGAGAGACAATAAAGGCAGTGTACCCTGAAGCAATAATATAACAAACATTGAATTCACATAATTACAAGGCACCATATCATTCTGAGCTTCTTCGTCCATGCAGGAATCGTAGTACGTTTGTGCTAGAGCCATTGGTTTTGATGCATTCTTACGAGGTGAGTTCTCGAGTATACCTGATGTTCAACACCTTTTATGTCGAACAATGCGGCTACTTCAAGAAAAAGCGGCGAACCCCTCAAGTGAAGATCCAGATCTCTCTTCATGTCATAAAGAACGGTGACCTTTTTCGCATGTTCCGGGACAATCCTGGTCTCTGCGTACCTTCCACAAGCGAAAGTGTAGAAGTTAGAACAAGGATCAGTCTGCTTGTTCATGTTATCCAAGTACATGGCAGCTGAATTGCACAATTCGACTCTCTCTAAAAACTTGAAAGTCTGATTACCGAGCCGAATGCATCTTTCACTGAGACAAAGAGTTTCATTTTGTGAAAGTGGTGAAGGAGCCGGACAGGTGCTCGTCGTCGAACATGACCTGACGTCCCCTGAAAGAAGTGTGAACTCGTCCCGATGATGATTGTGACGAGGAGCTGACATGCGACAGAAAGATCGTTTGTGTGAAGCAGAAGCTTAAATGACAATAGCAGTTTGTCCTAATGCCCAAACAACTGTACGCGTAGTCTCATCTAACCATAACGTTTTGTTAGACAATTTGTTATTAAATTACTACGTAAGTTTTGTTACACTCTTTAGCTTTAGGGCTCTAGAAAACTCGGCAAAGTCTCATATATGGGTTTATGGTGAAAGAATGAAGGGCCATCCACTATGACCACTTTCACCTTTGAGAAATCAGTGGCAAAGACGATTGCTTGAAGGCACTTCAACCTCCATGTTTTTCTTTAATTTTCAACAAAATTTCTCAAACTTTTTAAAGATTATTTTATCGACTTCCAAGAGCATCATTAGCAATACGGAGACATCTCGGATCAAGCTCTTCAATGACGCACGCTGGAATTTTGCCAAAAATAACTAGGAAAGATTCCGAAATATTCAAAAATTGTTCTTTGTGTGTGAAATGTATATATCGAAATTTCACAAGCCCCCGTACAATTTGGAGATGAAGTAACAAGAAGCTATAAGGATTTTCATGAAGTGTAACGAAACTTATGTAACAATCTAACACAATGACTGCTTTGAGATCGAGACTGCGTGCCGTTTCCAACTCAGCTAAAACTCCAAATAAACCTTTGAAGAGTGTTTTTTGACTGCCTTTTCTACTATTGCCTATAAAATGCTTCCAGCACGTTAATGATAGTTTAGAATAACTGAACCTAGCTTGAGACCTCTTAGACATTCAAATGCGAAACGTTTTCGTCTAGACAAAAAGCTCAGCGTTTTGAGTATGATAGTAGCATATTTTGAGTAATATCTGCTCCATGACGAAGGCGGTCGCCCAAATAGGTTGAAAGCATACAAGATCGACCACGGGTCGCGCGTACGCTCCCGTGAGCGACCGTGTCTGAGGTGGTTGACAATTGCCCGCGCCTGCAGCCTCGCATGCTTTCAATCTATTTGGGCGACCGCCTTCGTCTTGGAGCAGATATTACAGCATAGTATGCTAAAAAAAGTACGGTGTCAAATGCATGAAAAAATTGAGCACCACTAGTATTAAATTTAGAACTTTGCGCAATCACAAGCGTTTTACTTCCACCTTCAACCTTAGTTAGTCTAATCTAAAACTCCATCCTTTCCTAGTTATATATTGTATACACAGGTAATAGTAATTATCTAGAAGAATACACAATGAGTAAAAATTTGCGATGGTTATTTTCTGTGTTTTGAAAGCAAAAAATTGGAAACAAACCTTTGGACGCACTGGACGCTGAATAACCATTGTTGAGCACGATGACCAAGATCACTGAGCAAACGGCAACGATGAGGGTGGCAAGAAAAAGCGAAGCGAGAACGACCACTATGCGGACGTTCCTGAACTGGACACGCTCAGTAACAAAAATACTTTCTCGGGGCTTAAACATGATTGTTGAGCATTTGAGCATTTAGATAGAACAGGCAAGTTAAGCTTAGCTTTGGCTATAAAAGCAGTTTGTAGGATGAGCCTTAGACTTCTTATGTGGACAGATTGGAAGGCGTTGGGTAGGCTTAAGACATACCTCACGCAATTCCAGTGGCTGCGCGATTCGGTACCGGAACGACTGCTCGTAAATTGGTCATCAGAGCGCTTTGTTTGAGCAAAACTTAATCTATCTTAATCTATCCAACAAATCACAGATTCTAAACGTCTACGTGTTGGAGAACCTCGCACGATGAATTCGAAGACACCTGGCGAATCACCAAGTCGCGTGAAGGTGGCGATTTGGCCAAATCGCGTGAAGTATGCCTTAGGCTTAAGCCGATAACTTAGCGGCAGCTGGATCACTCGCGGGAGTTCAACATGACTCTCGCCCGTACCGTACTCGCGGCTCGGTCACTGCTCAGAGTACGGTATCGGGAGAGAATTTGGAGTTGAATTTCTTGGTCACGAATCAAGCTTTTAAGATGTCGCTTGGACAATGGCTTATCGGGAGTTTTCTATCAAATCCCATACAAAACAGGTACTCCGATTTGCCCTATAGGGAGCACTGTCACCAACGCTGCTGACACGCTTGTGAGCAGTCAATCCTCTGAAGCCGAGAACAGACATTAACACTAGTCGAGTAAATCAAGGGTTCGTGGCCCTCCGCTAGCTAGCACTCACTACCATTTTTTTCTGGGAATCATTATTTGCACGAATCGCTGCAGTAATCGCTGCGATATCTCATATTGCGTTCGATCACGCATGCTCGGTGTGATAGATGAGGTGGCGGGGGCAACACCTCAGGTGTCTGTCAGTGACTGATTGACAGAACAGTTGAAGAAAACAGCCAAATTTTCTGGAGCTCGGAGAAATGTGCTGACGTTTGCAAAAGAAAAGCCTCGAGGTCTTTTTAAAAGACTCAAAGTCAAAGTTCTCTCATTTTGACAAAAGTGACAGTTTCTAAGAAACTGGAGATGTCAAGGTTTTTGTAATTTGATAAGTGAAACTGATCTTCAAAGGCGGTAGTTTTGTCAGGTGTGAAATTTTAGAGTTCAATAAAGAAAGAGAATGGTTGTCAATCGCAACAGCAAAGAAAAAACTGCCTTGAGGAAGACAGACAATTACAAATTTTCTGTCAGTCATCTTCTGTTTTACATCAAGAAAAGCTCACAACAGAGGTTTCAATATAGCTCATGATTTCTGAAGCCTAAACAATGAATGTACGTCTAGTTATAGAGGCATAAAAGTTTGGACCTTTAGGTTGTTTTTCCTTCAAGCTCTTCACACTATCTCAAAGCGTAACCCATAATACATTAAAAGGGAGTCTTTTTGTTCTTGAGTTCTTGAGTTGAAGTTGCCCCCAAGGGTGTATTTCAATGCTTTGGCAGCTCAAGATGTGATTTAAAGCCGAACGAACCAAGCTGAGAACTTAGTGGAAAGCTTGAATATATCTTACCCAAATGGTGCAGTCATAGCATGACGACGTTTGCTTGATTCAAACAATTTCGTCCATATCGCTATACATATATAAGTTTGCAGGAAGATGAGAAGAAGAGCACACATGAATCCAGCAGAGGGTACGCATCTTTTAGAATATAAGAGCCTTGATATGTAAACGCAGAAAGACTTTTTTGATGTGAATTTGGCTTTGAGGCTTCACAAATGGAAAATCTCTTGCAGAGTACACAGTGTTCAGTTTTTGATTGACACGAGGAAAGCGGATTGATTGCAAAGATTATTGTCGTAGGTTGATGACAAAGACATTTAGACATTTAGACAGTCATGACATTTGGATTTGGGAAAAGTTGCAATACCCTTCTCAAAGGGTTTAACAGCTGAGTGAGCAAAAGCAACAACTTCAGCTATTGACGGCGCAATGAAACCTGCGCGGTTTATGGGACAGGAAAGGATTATGGAGTAAAATGAGATTTAAACATCCAAATGCTCTCTCTCATCTACCTTGTCGCTCACGAATTCCACCAACAAACTCAAGTTCGAAATTTCTTCATTAGATCAATTTTTGAAAGATTTTTTCTTTCCTTTCATGTGGCTTAGAACTTTCTGTTCATTCAAATAATTTTTTGGTCCAAAATGGCCTATTTGAAAGGAGATATCATCGGACTTAGTGAATAAGGAAAGAACCAAAGCGATAGTTGATGAGAATTTCTCAAGAGAGCATAAAGCTTATACTTTCTAGAATCGATGAACAAAGCGGTTCTGTTGAGAGGCGACCGCTAACGCGTTCTATTTATTAAGAAGTCAAAATTTGCAACTTCGAATGGTCTCATCGTTATAACGACATGGTACTTTGAAAGCGGTGAATCAGGAATGAATAAAAAATAATAAAGTTTAAATGGTAGAAGAACAGGTCTGAGCCAGTTAGAGAAGATGCAACACCAGCTCAAGGAAAAAAATTGGATCGGGCCTATAGCTGCAGAATTTTCAAGCTCAAAATGTCTAGTCATATTGCTGATCAGCAGATTATATAGAAATTCTCAGAATTTTTGAGAATGTGAGGTCCCTGTACATAAAAAGGCATATATCAAGCTGCTATATGTAGACTTACCCAACTGAAACCTGTTTAGTAGGACGGCATCGCTCTGTATCCATTTCACTATAGGTTAAACGCAGCAGAAAATTCTATAATACATAGGGTTACCAAGTGAGAGCTCCATAGGTAAAAAGTAGTTTTGACCTTTTACGACAATGAGGCGAATCGTTGAATATCTTGGAAAATAATCTTCCTTGTCCAAGTGAGCATGTTACGTGGAAGAAGTGTGATTATGAGTGTGCATTTCGACAGTCCTACGCAGGATACGCTAAAAAAACGATTGAGAGGGTCCGGAAACAAATAGCTGAGGCTCGAGAGTCAAGGTAAATCTGCCGTGAAAAGGAGGCGTCACAGGTGGAACCGGAATAAGGTTGGAGTGAATAGCAAATGCAAAGCTCAAGATACCGAAAAAGTTCGTAGTGCACATCAGCTGTCGGGCAGTTGGACGGCTGGAAAAAGCGAGCACTCGACGCTGAGCCGCCGCTGAATGAAGCGGTTCGCCTCTCGTGCATCTCGGCCACTCACCGCAAACATTATCAAATCACTGGCTATCGTCAGCATGCGCTGGCTTTTTTTTCTCTCAAAAAACTTCAAAACGAGCTCTCCATCAATGTAATGTAGAATATGATGCGATTTCTTATGAGGAACGCCCACTATCCATTCTTTGTTCGCAACCAACGCCTCCCTTCTTCACCTTGAGGGAAGAAAAAACCTAGCATAAGAAATAGCATATTTATTTTTATTTGATTTAATTGGTAACTGTAAGGCACTAGTGTGAATAATGTAGGAAAAGCAAGTGCTAGAGATACAAGCTGAATTCTATATGAACGAACCGGAAATGAAATCCAACGAAAGTGATACTGTAGAACTATCGAAATGAGATAGGAGCATTGAAAAAATTTTGTGTCTTATATCACCCACTAGCCTAGCCTCAGTTTTGAGTACTAGGCAGAAAAAGCTAGTTCGAGTAAAACTCGTGCTATTTTTCTCCGCCTGCAACTTTTTGAACCCCAAAAAACCTTTGTTTATGCCTACGCCTTCATCATAGTTGTAAGAACTCTGTGGCATTGCATATGCGTGATTTGTTAGCTCAGCCTTGCATAAAGCATTATTTGGATGCAAATGTTTTTGCTTTACTACTATATATGTACAGCAGGCATTCGTTATACCTGAAACTGAATATATAGTGTTGTAATGAACAAAACTTGGTGCAGAATTGTATAGTTTGGTTTTTCAGTGCGAACTTAGGGATGAAGTAAAACTTCAAAGAGCTCAGCAACTACTCCTTTACCAGTCTCCTTCCAACTAGAAACAATTGTACACATACAGATTCGAAATTTTTTTCCTATCCTTTGTTCCAAGACCACAGCTTTTGGTTCACTCGTATTTGAAACTTGAGCATTCAATGCGAGGCAGTTTTGGCGGGATACATAAACGACTAGCAATTGCTTTCCGAAAAGTGTAATTTGACTCAGTGAAACTTGGACAATAGAAGCAAATACAATACCGCTCGTAGTTTTTGAAAAACGACGCACAGTCGCCCGATTCATGTGACATATCGTTGCGTGATCATATCTCGCTTCAGAGCGGACGAATTCGCAATCCATGAGTACCGTTCGACTCACAAGGGAAGGATGGTTGGTCGAAGTGGCCTTTTGAGATGAATTGTATACCATGCTGGGGGGCATAAAACGCTGATTCCAAATCTGTCTTCCTTATCTGCGGCGCGTTCCTGAAGGAGGAGTTATGAGCGTTTGAGGAGCAAAAATTAGTGTTTTTCTGGGATAAAAACATTGGCTAAAATTTTCCCAGCGCTTAAATGACACAGCCGGAGTGTGGATCTATCTCACCTTAGAGTATTTATTTTATAGAGTGTTGGAAAGATTACCACTGGTCCATTTAAGCGCTAGGAATAATGTTACAACTGTTTTTATATTATTTGCACATTCAATTTTTTCTCCAATAAACGCTCATAGCTTCTTGTGCAGGAGTGCGCCGCAGATAAGGAAGACAGATTTGGAATTAGCGTTTTATGCCCTACATAATGATGTACAAGTCATCGCAATAGGTCACTTCGACTGACCATCCTTCCCTTGTCAGCTTAGCATGGCGCATCTTCTGATGTATAGACGTGCCCTGGACATACAGGAGGTCAGAATCCACAAATGTTCCAGATTTTTGCTCGCGGTAGGTTGCTCAGTGTGCTTAGTCTTTGCACTCACCGGGCAACCTACCGTAAGCAAAAATGTGAAACGATTTGTGGAATCTGGAATCCTACTACTGTGTCCAAGCGGGCTCTTCTAAATGTCAGAAGATGCGCCGCGCCGAGCTGAGTAGAATGGCCCCCTTAGCTTAAAAATTCGTCCACTCTGTAGCGAGATACGGCCATGCTGCGGTGTCACATGGATCGGGCGACTATGCGTCTTTTTTCAGAAAGTAGGAGTTGTGTTGTAGAGCATTAAAAGAACAATCGAAAGAAGAACCATGTCAACAACTAAGTTGTAATCTATCTCCGCTTCGTTCCCTCTCTATTCCTAACGGTCCTTGATTTTTGCGGGCCCATAACCCTAAAGTCGAGAAAAAGGGGCGTGGCAATAGTCACACCACCAAAAAATTTTGGCTAATTTGAATTTCCAAGAAATTCTAAAAATTATCTTGATTATCTACAAGAACAAACTTTCTTCTCATGTTGTTCGTAAACATTTCTGTGCAGCACTAATTCAAGCTTAATTGTGACTCTCAAGTTGACTAAAAGCTTGTGCATCCAATGCAAGGGCAGCGTTGAAGCTTATCTATATTTACATAATCACTGCACACCGAGTCAAAGTGTATATTAGGTAGTTTCTCAAAGCTTTATGCTTCGAATTTGCAAGGTTAGCAAAATGCGAAATTGAAGTTGAAGCATAGAAAAGCATATCAATAGCTACGTTTGGGCGAGTTCTTTAGTGTGTTCTTAGTGCGCCTTCTGCTGCACTGAGCCGGGAGCCAAACAAAAAGAATTTGCTGATCACAAAGTCAGCTATCAAATGTTGAGAGAATCTTGGATGCAATTCTAGTAGAGAAAGGGGCTAGACGTAAAATTAAAACGTAAGCGCATCTTACGCATTTTCACATCAATTAGATGCTTCAAATGTTACCGAAAAACTGCGGGGATTTCATTTTCCGCCCCATTTTCGCACCCGGATGGGCTCCAACGATGACTTTTTTATATGGTTGTGTTTATAGAAGCCTAAGCTTTTAATGCATTGTCTGATCTATATCGAAGTCAGACTGTTTGACCTATACATCAAGAAAGGAATCTTCTGATGACAACAGCTCCCTAATTTTCCCTTCTTGCTGCCAGTTTTCCCGTGAACAAAAAATTAGTCTAAGTTGAATATTCGGAATGAGGAGACAGTGTCTTCAAAGGCTGGCTTCGATCTATGATCGCCACTCCTTGTCTCCTAAGATGTGCAAAACATTACCCACGATATTTGCAGTAATCGAAGCTTTTGTTCATTTCAAGCAGAAGGGGGTGGGCATACCTTCGATAGTCAAGAGACAAGGGCTAGAAAGTGATAGTTGTTTGAGTTCTTGCCCCCTTTAAAAAGTGAAGGTCGTTTCAGAAAAATAGACGAAAATTTAGAGGTACAAATTAAATTAGAAAACTTAGAAAGTTCATAGAAAGCAGAGGTTAGCACATCACCAAATCTGAAACCTTAACTTGGTGGTTTCCTACGCAGTGTTTCGTCTCCAGGATTGCCGGTAAAATTGGGTGGCAACAACAACAAAGTTCTTTTCCAGTCAAAAAAAGCGCTGTTTAGCTGTGGCGTTAGTTAGGAGATAGAAAGAAGAAGAACTTGTCAACAACTGAATTGAACATGTTAAACATGTCTGTAAAGTTGTGCTGCACATCGACGCCAATCTGATTTTTGATGCGTCCTTTAAATTTTCACCCCCGCATAGTCGTTTCGTACGCTGCGACGTTGTCTGGATTCTTCCGCTCATCATTCTGAGCAAGTATCGTCCAAACTGGAAAAAATTCGCTGCAAAAGCACAGAAAGAGAACAAGGTAAAGAAAAACGCACTTTTTTGTATTTTTCACAAAAAAAACCGGCATAAGCAAAGAACTAAGCTCGGCGACGTTGTCTACATCATAGACAGAAACAAGACCTATCGAATGCACAAAAAAACCGAGTGAAAAAAGTTAAACTGAAGAAAAAACAAGAGGTTTTCGAAAACGCCGTTTTTCAAGGATTTCTCGTTTGAATCCTAAAAAGAAGTTCCGCGACGTTGTCAGCGTGAAAATAGAGATCAAGAGCTTTAATATGATATACAGATTATCGAAATTGGGCTCCGAACAACGAAGAAAAGGGTACCAGAGCCAAATGCCCCGCGCCCCGCATTTGAGGTAGCGAGGTAGCGCGTAGCGCGCGGAGACGCAGACGAGCAGCGGAGACAAACCAGAGCCGACGGGGCATTTGGCTCTGGTCGTGGGTCTTCGCAGGGTCTCAACGAAACCCTGCAAAATTATATATCGTTGTGATCCTCATGAGACGGCCAGGAGCACTGACAACGTCGCGGGTCTTGAAAATCACTCCATAACGAGATAGACCAGCATTCATATGGCGACCCTTTGCGCAAGATTTGAGCGCAGTTTTTCGTTTTTATTGAACTTTAGCGGCTTTAATGAACTTCCAACATTCAACCGCAGTTCAGAGAAAGGTTAACTGAGAAATTTTGCTCTAGTATTTGATAAAATTTTTAAATAAAAACCTTCTTCTCAACAAAAAAGGCCATAAAAACGCAATCCTTCGGTTTTTTTGAGCTTCTTTTGAATGTCACTGCTATATTTGCCTCATTTAAATTCATCCCTATACGGTTATGTCATTAGTTATGTCATAATTTCCGGGGCTTCGCTCGCCCCGGATGACTTCTGTACTTCTCCCCAGATGAAGGTTGTGTTCTATCATGACGCTCAAAGTGAAAGTTACCAGAGTACATGGCTCTATGTATCGAAGGTATGGGGGTGGGAGACTTTGAAGTCAATTACGAAAAAAATGGAGCATTTTTGTGTGTTCTATTGGTCGACTTCTCAATATTCCAAACTATAATTTGCAATGGCGCTTTAAAAACATGATTTCCTTGGAAGTTCTTTTTTTACACTCTAGTTGGCTCTACTGCAGCTTCTCATGGTAGTTCCGGAGTAGTTTCAGACCTCTTCAATAATTTGCTGGGAGAGAAACGATAGACGAGAGAGTCGGGCCAAACTCAGAGCTTGATTCAGAATGACAAAGCAGGTTGTGGCGAAAAGAACTCCAACAAGGTTCTGTGAGTATATTCCAGT